GCTGCCCCTTGAGCTGCTGTGAGAACACCCCAGGGGTATCACCTAAACGTGGTAAGAGTGCTCTGCCCATGGCTGACCTTGCAAGGAACACAATGCTGGTTGCTCAGAGGCTCCAGAGCTCTGAAGTAAGCAGTAAGAAATGCTTATTATATAAAAGAATTTGGCCTGTGTTGTTTCTGTTTTTCCCCTCCCCAAGCCCTACTAATGGCAGGGCTCCTCAGCTGGTGATCTGCACTGGTATCTTCCAGCAGAACAACATCTGGTCCTGGTCATCTACCAGCTCCCACTTCACGATCAGTTTAATCTGAAAGAGAAGAGCAGAGGAAAATGAGGGTGTTCAGGAAACCTTAAGGCAAGGGCATAGGGAGAAGAGTTATCACTTGTGTGGAACAAGGAGGCTCTGGGGGCTCTGCACAGAGGACAGAGCTGGGGCATTGCCCTTGCTTGCAGTAGGTAGGCCATGCTCATGCAATCACTCCTGGAGTGGAGGAGGAGGGCTCAGTTGCATGACACAGAAGACCTCCACACACTACACTCAGATCCCCACTCCCTGAGAAAGCAAACAGTGGAAACAGCCTGCAGCATCCCAGCTGAACTGCACTCCAGAGCCGAGCACCCCAAGTCTGGGAGTGTTCAGCTGCATGCAGCAGACTCTGCTGGGAAGCACAGTACAGGAGGATACTGGAGCAGCTGAAGCCACTTCTCAGCAGCTGCTTCCTCTGCTGGGTCTGTCCCAAAGTGGAACCTTGAAACTAGAGTCATGTTCACAGCAGAAATAACACCACACAGTCTAAGGAGTCTTCTCTCCCTCACCAGAACAGAACAAGGTGTCTTCTCTTAAAGGCAGGTGCCCCAGTAAAGTGGTAGCTGGGGAGCTGACCAGCTGCCTGCGTACTTACACTGGGGTACTCGCTCTTCACAGGGAGTTTATTCAGGTAGCTGTAAGAATGGCCCTTCTGAATGGGGCACTGGATCCCGGACTTGCATCCATCGGGCTCAGGAATAGGAAAGGGTATGTCCACATGCAGCATCTCGCCGTACACCCTTGCTTTGCTGCCCTGGCTCTCGATCTCTGCAAAACACGGAGAATGTGTGTATACCTCACACCCTCCTCTCCACATACCCCAAAGGCTGCAAGAACACAACTAAGGGACACTCCTCCTCCCACCCAGACCCCTCTCCATCCGCCCTTCCCCACTCCAAGCAGTGGAACACGGAGAGGATTAACTCCCTCTCCCCACCCCTGCCGGGGACACGATCCTTACTGCTGGCGAAGGTGACGTTGATGCTGTAGGATGTCCCCTTATGCAGCAGGCAAGGCTGAGTGGGGCAAGGGCTCACGTTCACCTCCTGGATGCTGCCGTCTACGGAACCTGCAAGGAAAAGTCGGGATTACCGGGCCGTCTCCGCCTGCTTACACCCCGCCGCCGCCTCCCGCTGCCCCGAGGCCGAGCGGGGCCGGAGCCACTCACCACAGTCGACGAAGCGGAGAGGCTCGGCCAGGGCAGTGGCGGCGGCGCCCAGCACCAGAAGCAGGGCGAGCGGGGACGGCACCATGGCGAAGGCGGCGGCAGCAACTGGGAGCTCGGCACGGCGGCGGCTCGGCGCAGTCACATGAGGGCGGGGGCCCCGCCCGCCGGTCAGCTGGGGCCGGCTCCGCCCGCGGGGCCGGGCCGGGACCCACCACGCGATCCCGGGGGTGGCCTGGGGCTGGGCCCGCCCCTGGCGCCGCGGCGGAGAGCAAGGTTGCACCGGGGAAAAGGGTACAGCGCCGTGACAGGACAGCGGGGGGAAGGGGGTAGTGGGGGTGTGGTGTGCTGGAACAACAGCCCTTGGACAGACAGACACCCTCCCCAACAGCGCTGCCACTGGACATCCCCACTCCTGGGCTATCCTGGTGGAGTCAGTGCCAAAGGTAGCAGCCGGAGGACAGGCTCAAGTACAGGCAGTGCGATGGACCGGGAAGCTCTTTTGCTGCTTCTTCTGAAAGGGGAGAAACATAAACCCCCTGCTGTAGTAGACCAGCCCGTAGGCTTGTCCGTCGCTTACGTCATACCTCGTGTTCTGCATGTTGAAAGTTGTCTGTGTAACCGGAGTGCCAAAAGTTACATCTGCTGAGTACCTGGCGTGGCTGCTGCCTTTTACAGAGCACACACACACTGGGAGCCTTGTTTCTCAAACTCGTGAAATGCCATAGGCTCCCTGCTTTGTGCTGTGGATGCCAGGACAAACCAGAGGATGAGGAAGATGCTTCAGAAAGCATTTGAGCCAAGCTTTTCACCAATTTCACATGGTAGCAAGTTCTAGCCTTTCTTGGGTCATGTCAGGAACATAGTAGAGAGAAAGGCACATGAGTGCTGATTTGGTAGGAACGTGGCAGAGCTAACACAGCGTCCCCACTTCAGACCTCTGTCCCAGTGAAGTGTCTGCCTGCTCAGCTGCAGCTGCACAACCAAGTGACTCAGACGTGACACCCCACGCTTTGCTCAGGCTCTCTGCAAAGGGTGTCACATCAGAAACCCAAGAGGTGTTAGTAGGACCAACCAGGACATACTCATGCATATCTGCTGAGCAGTTTAGCACTTCAGAAGAAGAGGGATCCCTTCTTTCAGAAAGGGACATGGGGCTTTTTTATGTTTTTTTAAGATTTTGAATAAGCATTTGATTTGCAGAGGCAAGCAGACCAGGGTGCTTACAGCAACCCTATCAAAAAAACTCAAGAGACCCTGCTGAGACTAAGCCATGTATTTAAGCCCACCTAGCACACTTTATAAATGACCCATCCTTGCACATTGGAAATCATTCTCTTTGAAAGGCTTTCCTTCTCTGCATCCTTCCAGTCTTACAAAGGGTAAACAAAGCTGGCTTATCTGACTTCTGGGAACAGAACTGTAGTCAGGTCAGACCAACACCATAAAGTGCCATCACACATTCACAGGATAAGCAGGGCTTGGAATTTGCTTGGGTGTGAATTCCACAGTGCATTAAATCAGGATGCATTCCTGTGAAACAACTAAGCAGATATCTTTGCTTCACAGATGCTTTTGCACAGTGGCAGTGACACATAAATACAAGTCAACACGTGTTTCAAAGGCTTTGAACTAAAAACCATTGAATCTAGGATCAAAATTAACATGTCTATTTCCCCCTTCCTCCTCCGAACTGGAGCCTAATAAGTGTAAGTTTGTAAAACTACAGCCAAGGCCTTTAGAGAAGAAAGACGCAGAAACCTTCTGCCCAAGGTTTTTAGCTGATATCACACATTACCATTGTGTCAGTTTTGCAATAACAGCACTTAAAGCTTAGATTCCCCAGGGCAGCATAAGCACTTTAGGCCAAACAGACCTTGCTTTTAGGCACATGACCCTTTTGACATCTGATAAAAGGCATGGGCCTCCTGGTCCCCTTGAAACCCAACATTGTACCAAAATACTTGAGAAAGACTCAATTCAACTTTAGGCTGGTCTCATTATTTTGCAGACGGGGCTCCTTCCAGATTACCAATAGGAAGCTTACACTTAGGTTCAGAAACAGCAGGAGAAATGGCTAAGAAAGCTAACAGACTAATTCTTTCCATCAAGACTGATACTCAAGTTCTTCATTTCTGTAATCCAACCAACTCTATTACATGAGGAAAAGCCTAAGGTTCCACTTCAGAAGCTAGCTACACCTGATTAATCCAAATCCCTCTACCAGCATTGCACTTACAGGGACTACAGTGGTAGTGAATACAAAAGTCAGGTTTTCAAGAAAATCCACATACAGAGACTAATCAATTTTGCTGTTCTTTCAGCCAGAACAGGCTCCTTTTGCTACAGATTGTCAGAATCACATTGAAATGCATCACATCCAGTCTCAACACCACACCAGAGGTTTTATTATCACCAGCTTCTGAAGCACTGAAACAAGCTCAGTTTCTCACCAAAATAGATACAAGATGATTTAAATATCAGAGGAGAAAAGAGCAAAATATCTAGAGAATTCAACTCACAGACAAATCTCCTCAATACAGGGTGCTTAACAATAGCTAAAGGAACTCCCTAAACCCACATGCCACAGACCAGAAGAGAAAAGCAAAATGCAACCAAACTTAAAACCAGATTATGTCCATCTATCAGGAACAAGATGATCAACAAAAGCACAGCCCAGAAAAGAAGAAAAACTAGACTGTAACTCTGAAAAAAAACCCAACAAACCATCACTGTACCACATAGCTGACTGAAGGAAAAAATGGCCAGTGATAAGAAAGAGGTGCAAAGGAGTAGCTGTTCTTAGTTACATCCACCTCTCCTAGCTGCTCAAAAAAATTTGCCCCCAGCACCTGAGTCACTCCTCAGCATAGTGGATCATTAATTATATTAAATTAACTCTGAGTGAGGCTAGCTGGCCTTTCTCTCATTCCTTCAGTCTGCAGTAGCCATCTCAGCAACGTCCCAAAGTGCCTTGAAGGTACTTGCCACACTTCTGCCTCTTAACACCAGTAAAAACCAAGGCAGTTAGAAAGTTAGAGTGTCTGGTTTTTGGGGCTACATCCATTCCAAAAGGTGTTCACAGTGAATAGAGCCACACCATGGGGAAGTGCAGTGGGATCAGTCTAACACACCATGCAGGAGCAAGAAGGGAAGCCAGTGCATTATGGAAAGCAGGCATGATCCCTTGCCTTTTCTCCCAGGAGGTTTTGATTCCCTCCTCCAAAGCTGTCTGCTTTTGGGACACCACATTGATAATAACTGAGAAACACCCCAATATGGTTTTTTAAAACATTTGGTGGTCCAATATACCTGAAAAGGATTCATCAACCACTGCAGGCACCTGCCTCACTGAGATACTTTCCTGGCTTTATCCTAACATCATTAGAGCTAACACCAGACCAAACAAAATTAAACAGCTCAAACCAGTCTTTATTTACATGCTCAGGTCTGGAACAAATAAGCAAAGGCACGTGGTTTCAAAAGCATTGCCTTTCTTGGAGCAGGACAGTGAGAAAGCAAACTGTCACAGGGTCCCGAGGTCCCCTGATAGTAAATCACCTCCTCTTGCTGGAATGACTGGTTTTCCTCCACGAGTCTTCCACACAGTCACTGTATGACTCTCCACAGACCTGGCTGGGGCTGAGGAACAGGATTCCTCTCCCAGAAGCACACGAGGAAGCGATAAAAGACTTTTAACCGCAGGTGCCTCTGTGATGGACCGGCCAGGCCACTGTCACACGGCAGACATCAGGGGGAGGTTATACTACCGTGTGAGGGAAACGTGCCCCGGGTGGCCGTCGGGGAGGCCACGGGGCAGGCTCGGGGTGGGGGTCTCCTTCCCCCCTTCCTGCGGTGGGAGGAGAGGGACTGTGTGGGTCTGAGGCTGAGCACGCTTCCGTGGCACCGGGGCAAAGCGCCCGTCCGAAGGAAGAACAGCCTCCACAGGGATTTCTGAGCTGAGCCCCTACCTGATAAAGGAGAGCAGACCAGTCGGGATCAGGGGAAAACCCTAAAAGCTCCCAACTCTGGCCCCGTGTTTGCTCTTCTGCTTGCCTAACTTCCCTGCGGCGGCACCTTGATCCCTCTCTGGGTTCTACTCAGGATAAACGAGCTCGCAGCTAATCGCGGCACAAGCACGCGATGACGGGCAGCACTGCGCTGTTTATTGCTCCCCACTGTTTTACTGCTGTTTGCTTCCCTCTGCGAACACCTCTAAGGACGAAAGGCGGCTTCGTGCCTTTATGCGAAGCTGCAGCGGGTTTCCGGGCCCAGCGGCCTAGCCGTGCCCGCGCATGGACGGCGGTGCCGCGGTGCCCCGGTCCCACAGCGCCCGGTGCCCGCCCAGTGGGGAGCGGCCGCTCGCCGGGGCGGCACTTCCGCCTCTGCGGACGCCGTGGCGGCGGGGCGGGGCTGGGCCGTTATGGCGGCGCCGGGGGCGCTGCGGCGGTGGTGGGTGCTGGCGCTGGGCGGCCGGACGAGGTACCGCTCCCTTGGATACCCGAGCCCTAGGGTCCTCCCCCGGGGATGCCGAGTGTCTCCGCTGCGCGGCAAGGGGCGGCATCTGCGGGGGCCGGGCGGCGTGGCGGGGACCCCGCTGAGGCTCCCCCTCTCCTCCCTTCTCCCCGAGGCAGCTGGGGCCCCGCTCCGCCGTGCCGAGGACGAGCGCTGCCGAGGCCCTCGCCTGAGCCTGCCCGGGCTGTCCGCCCGCTGCGGTGGGAGTCGTCCTTCTCCCAGCCGGGCCCGACGGAGAGCGAGCCCAGCGAAGGACAGGTCTTCCTCAGCGAAAGCTGCGTGAAGGTGGGGACCCCAGGAGGGCTCCGGTGTCTCTGGGAGGGATTTCCGAAGTGCCCGGCCTGCCGTGGGTGCACAAGGGAGGCGTTTGAGTGTCACTAGTTTGCTCAGTAGGCCTTTTAATCCTTTTCCTTTTACTTATTTGCAGAGACTGCTGGAGATTGCAGAAGGCTCAGAGTTTCTCAGGCTGCAGGTGGAAGGAGGTGGCTGCTCTGGCTTCCAGTACAAGTTTTCCTTGGACACAGTTATCAATCCTGATGACAGGCAAGGACAAAGGGGTGTAATGGTGATCAGGTATTACTGTTCTTTGCAAAAATGGCAGTGGAGGTATGTGTGACTTTGTAGGATCTTGCATTGAAGGGAAGAAGCCTATGAGATAAGGAGACTGCTCAGGCTGTGCTTTTCTGGAAGGTCTTTGGCACAGTTAATGGTTAAATATGCCGCTTTTTTGTAGGGTGTTTGAACAAGGTGGTGCCCGTGTGGTTGTGGATGTGGACAGCCTGGCCTTCGTGAAAGGTTCCATGGTGGACTTCAGCCAGGAGCTGATCCGAAGCTCCTTCCAGGTGGTGAGCAACCCCCAGGCAGAGAAGGGTTGCTCATGTGGGACTTCCTTCTCTGTCAAATTCTGACTGGACTTCCCATGGATGGACACTGTTTTCAGACACTTCCTGGCAGTCTTCAGAGGGTTTGTCCTTTTCCCAGCTGCTCCCTCTCATCTCGCTCTGTGACACAGCTGTTACACATTACTGCAGCTGTGTGTATGTTTGCACTGAACCTGTCTCCAAGACTTGTTGGCCTTCCCTTCAGAAACATGAAGCAACCATGAGCACGCACACGGGAGCATCTTCAGCACCTTGTGAACCACTGGCCAGGTGGTGCTGACTCACCTGCCCTGTCCCGAATGTGGAACCACTTAACTGTTTCTCTCTGCAAGAGATGGCTATAAATATATATATGTGTGCGTGCGTGTGCAGGTGTGTTTATTGAAAATTCTTAGTAAAAAAAGTCTCTGAGATTGATTTGCGTTGCTTGTGCATTTATAGGTGGGTAGAATATGAGTTCTTTTTAGGCTGCTGTTGCTTATCCCTTGTCATTCAGCTGAATGGGACTTGGAGTCTTTCTCACATATACCTCCCAGGGTTGCTGTCTCTCCACTCACAGCTCGCAGTGGGCTTTTCCAAATACTTTGCTATTTTCTTGCTGAGCAGACTTCTCTTGGTCCCAAGAACCTATGGTGGTTTTGCTGCAAGTTCCTGGGATGAAGGTTTTTACTTATTCAGAGTAAGTGAAACTAAAAATTGAGGTAGGAATAATTAATAGCTTATCTTTTTATTAAAAAAACCCAAAAAACCCCAAAAATCAACAACCAAAAAACCCCCAAATACTTTTACATATACAAAAATAAAATCCATAGCTCTATATGGCCCAGTGCTACTTCAGGCTGTTCCTAAACTCGACTTGGAGTTTTAGGTCATACTGACTCTCAGGTTTCATAGTGTGTTTGCTGCCTTCTCTTGCCAGCAGGAAGGGAAGTTAAGGTGACATAGAGTTGGATCTGGAGTACTGGTTTGGGGTCCTCAAGTCCTTTTGACCTAAAGTTGTCTGGGAAGTTTTTTCATAGCTCGTTTTACCCTTCAGTCTCAGTCTAACATGCCTGGTTTGATGAAAGACTCTCAGGTAATGGGAAATCTAGAAGTTTCCAGAATAACATCCTTTTGATTAGTCATTTTCTATAGTTTTTTATGTGCCACTAGATGTCTTTTAAGTCAAAGTGATTCACCTGCTTCTGGATGAAAAGGAGAGGTGGGGAAGCTATTTTTGTTCCCTCTCTTGTGTTTTATGTGATCATAACCAAATTGTCTAAGACTCGAGTCTTTCACGTGAATGTGGGAGCACTGCATGACTTTCGTGTTAAGGGAACTGCTTATGGCAAACCATGAGCTTTTTAAGTCTCCATGCCACAGGCATTTTTGTTGTTAAGCTTTCCAAATGCCTTTTTAAACTAATGAGCAGTGTCTGTGTAGAGCACTGTTTTGCCTATTTATTTCTACTGCTCAGAGTTGGTAACCAGCTAGTTTCAGTTTCATCCGTAGATGTTACAGGAGGTCATATGTGATCTGCTCTGACTTTGTCACATGAACAGTATGTGGATCGGCAGCTCTTTCAGTTTAGCCCTTTTGATTTCCTGCAGTCAACATCTGCCTGGTTACCTTGCTATCAGAGAATGCTGAATGTAGCACTGTCACGTTTTGTGAAAGGGAGTAAAAGGATGTGGTTAAAAGACTTGCCTAAACCCCTGCAGGGTGTTTGGACACTGCCCTTGTGCTCCCAGGTCTGGAAGGTGATGTTAACCAAAACTGCGTTTGAAAAGTATAAGACCTTAAAGCTTGTGTAGGTAGCATACATTAGATAAACTCAACTTCTTTCATCTAGGATACATCAAAGTTGGCCAGAGGAATTGCTTTCTGAACCAGGAAGATCCGTTCTTGATCCGTTTCACACAGACCTAGGTCAAGTCTCTTTTGGGACCTCTTATGGAAAATAAAAGTGCAGCAGTAGTGCTGGGGAGGTAGCAAACCAGCAGCTACCAAGGCTTTTTTTCCCCCTAAACTAAAGCCAGTCTTCAGCCTCTGTAAGCCTGCAGGCTTCATCTTGGATTGCTGTTCTTGCTAAATGTAAATGTGCTGTGTTCAACCTAGCCAGGTGCCACCTGCCTTCACTTGCTCTACACTGATGCAGTAAATGGAGCAAGTGCTGTCCATGTGGAGTGCCACCACTTTCAGAGAACCTGCCTCTCCCTCACAAGGACCATGCAGAGAATGAGGCTCTGGTCCCCCCCAGTGTCACTTGCAGTGTTGCTGTAAAGCTCGTACGTGTGGCTTGCGTTGCCCGCGGCTCTGGCAGTACAACTCTGACTGCACTAGATGGACCCCTTACTCCTTGGGAGTTGCTGCACTGGACATACACAGGCATTTCGACCACTTTCGGGGGGTCGTTGGGTCTGCTCCCTGCAGGACCTAAGTAGAAGCAAAAGTTTCTTTACAGCTGTCTCTTTTGGAGGCAGGCTGGAGCCAAGTTCATCTGGTATTGCAGCAGCCTTATCACTACATCAGAGAAACTGCTAGAAGCTGGAGAGGTTCTAGCCATACATCCATCACATTGCTCTTGGCCTCCTAGTCCTGCTTCCTGGGAGTAGCTGTAATTTGTTGGCCAAAGCTACTAGTTTTCCAGTTCCCAGTAGGCAATGGGTGCAAAGGGCTGTCTGTCACCCTGAGAGTTGGTCTGATTCTTAAAGAGTCTGTCAGTACATCAGAAATTGAAAACTTCTGTCGATGCTAGGAAGTCAGCAAAGGGAGTCTTGTTGCCAGGGGGGGTGAAGGTGATCTTGGTGAATTTTGACTGTGTAGACAAAAAAGGCTAGATCCTACAAAAAGCCCTAACCTGTCAAGGTTTGTAAACTGAATAGCTGTAGGTGCCAAAGATGGCACCAAACTGTAGGCAAGTGGTGCCAAGAGAAGGACACACAGGATTAGACAGGAACTTTAGTTCTGCCTGGGCCATGAGGGGCTGCCAAGGCATGCCTGTGAGGGAATAGGTGGGAGCCCTTGTACTGAACCACTGAGGAGAAGCTGGAGGTGCCGCCTTCGCTTCATGGCAAATGAGAAGCTGCAGTGGAAAATCTTTCTCTGCTCCCACATAAAGAAGGAGGATTCTCTCAGTTCACCCACCTGACAAGGAATGAATGATCAAGAAAGATATTTATGGAAACCTATGTTAAGATGAAACTTCAAGGAAAAAGGGCACAATCATCAGTGTCACTGACAGGAACGTAGAAGAAGATGGAATAGAAATTCTCCCTTTGGTGGGAGCTTGTGGGAGCTCTGCAGGGACTTGTTAGGAGATGACCAGCACATCCTGTGAGCCTGTGAGAACTGGCTCAGTTCTTCAAATTAGGTATCTACCATCACCTATTAACTGTGGGTCCCTCTTCAAGGCTTCAAGCCAGGCAATGGGTAATGGCAGATTTTTGTCGCGTCCTTTTTTTTGTGGTTTAGGGATATGCATACGAGTGCTGTGCTTGTGTTGGAGGGCTCCTGTGTGGTATCATTTGCTACAAAGAGCATTTTGAGGTGGGTGCCTGCAATAAGACCAATGACCAACCTAGAGTGGATGTTAGGGAAATAACTCCTTCTCATCCACAAACTGCAAAATTTCACTAAGCTCAGACCTTTCCCTTGTGAAGTTGTACATCTGTACAGAGCTGTTGGGTGAGTCAGGAAAATAACTAGGGTTGAGGAGCCAGTACCCCCTGGATGACACCCACTGGGGCTTTTGCTTCTCCATGCAGTAGTGTAATTTCCTGCCACCTTAAGGGCTTAGATGAATCCAGCACATGGGATAGGATTCATCTAAGCACACGGGATAGGAATCACTGCACAGTGGAGGAGACAATAACGGGAAGGCGGAAGTGCATGACAGAAGGCTTCTCTTGTCTGTGTCCCATACTGTGAAGGCACACACTTTATATCAAGACTGTGTTCAGCCTTACAAACATTTCAAACGTCTGGTGGCAGCTGGAAGTAAAAAACCAGAGTGGTATAAACCCCACTGTAAGCTGGGACTGGTCAGTGGAGTTTATTGAATTACAGAATTGAATATCCTGAGTTGGAAGAGACCCACAAGGATTATTGAGTCCAAAAATTATACCATGTGCCTGAGAGCGTTGTCCAAATGCTTCCTGACCTCTATCTTGTCTGGTGCTGTGACCACTTCTCTGGGGAGCCTGTTCCAGTGCTCACCGCCCTCTGGGTGATGAACCTTATCCTAATATCTGACCTAAACCTCCACTGACACAGCTTCATGCCATTCTCTCTGGTCCTATCACTGGTCATTACAGAGAAGAGATCAGTGCCTGCCCCTCCGCTTCCCCTTGTGAGGAAGTTGTAGGCTGTGATAAGGTCTCCCCTCAGTCTCCTCCAGGCTGAACAAGACAAATGACATCAACCGCTCCTCATACGGTTTCCCCTCTAGGCCCTTCACTGTCTTTGTAGCCTCCTTTGGACAGCTTTATATCCTTCTTATATTATGGCACCCAAAACTGCGCACAGTACTCAAGGTGAGGCTGCCCCAGTGCAGAGCAGAGAGGGACAATCCCCTCCCTCAACTGGCTGGCGATGCTTTGCCTGATGCCCCCTAGGACACAGTTGGCCCTCCTGGCTGCCAGGGCACTGCTGACTCATACAACTTGCTGTTGATGAGGACCCCCAGCAGGGCTACTCTTGGGAGTTCAGAGAAAAAATCAAAGCAAGTGTGCTGTATTTCCCAATGAGCTGCTACAACACATGCTTAAGGACTGAATCAAACATAATGTCCACTAGCAAACACCATCATCAGGTTCATTAGCAGAGGGCATGATAGGATGTGCACCATTTAGATGCTTAATTTTCTTTGCCTGTTTTCATGCAGACCAGATAAAGCCCTCACCAAGTGTTTACCACGCTCTCTGGAATGGGCCATAGCTGCCAGAGAAACTGGCGGCAGAGAAAGAGATAGCCTTGTGTTATGGTTTGTTTGATACAACTGTCAGCCAGCCTGGATAAAGAACCACAGTTTAAGGACACCAAGCATTGGCAAGAATAAACTGCAGACACCTGTATTGTATCAAACTCTTCCCTTTGAGAAGTGTTTTATTGCCTTTTTTTTTTTTTTTAAGAGTATGAATCCTTGAACTAAATGCCATTAGGGGCTAGGTGGAGGATTAATGGTACAGTTTGGATCCTGCTGGGTTCTGAGGAATATGTTTGCTCTGCATGGTTTCCAGGATTAGGCTGCAACTGGCTTTGATCTGTGGAGATACCTGCCCAGGAAACAGCTCAGTAGATCATGAACTTGGGGTTGGTTTAGTATCCAGCTGTGGGCAGAAATACTGTCATGAGTCAGCTGAAGCTGTTCATGACAGTGAGATGGGCCATTATTCCAAGGCTGTGATTCTTCAACCTGTGGGGAGCAGTTTGTGTGC